AGTGATGTAAACAACTGATCGATCTAAACTCTTTAAACGTCAAAATTGATCATTAGATTTTTATGACACAACAGTGGTGAGTGTTCCCACCTTCTCCTCTTTGTAACTTAACGCGATCGTTCCGTTTTTGAGTTTTGGACATCAATTTTGGAGTATATCTTCGCAGTATCGATTGACCGCAAAGTAAAGCTACCGGAAATGTAAAACCCCACATCCGGTCTCAAACCAGGAAGCTAGCATTTTCTCGTGCACAGGGTCAATTTGCCACTGAATTTCGTGTTGTGCGCATGCGCAGAAACAACGGGTAGGATGGTTTGTCAGGTAGGATGGATTCCCAGAACACCGGAACCTTAGCGTGGGCTTTGAGAAAAATGCTATATACTTGATGTTTACTATTAGGTATTACGTTTAGCCTTTCTTTCATTTATTTTTTTTTAAGTTATTCATATTTTAAATCATCAATTGCGAATAACTACAGTTTAATAGCTATTTTTTTAAGCTAACAATTTCAACTGCTAATCTATCCTTTTAGCTAACAACATTTTATCTGCATTTTTAGCTTCATATTTCAACTTTTAATTCATTGGTAAGAGTTTTAATTGATAATAATATAAGAAAGCAAATGTAATTATTTACCAAGGCTTTTAGCTATCAATTTCAGTCGCTAATCAATATTTTGAGACAACGTTTTTTCCACCGCTGGCGACACATGAACAGGCACAGAGTAATAAAACGATTTTGGTCTTGATTACTGAATGGGTATTGTGGCAATTCTTCAGGAAAATACAGCGGCTTTAAGATATAATTGCTCATCTAGAGTTTTATTCCAGATCTTCTGCAAGTAAAATCTCATATTATGGGGTGAGATGTTATCCAGCTGCGGTTACCTTTGGGTTTAATTCTACAGACTTTGATATGACACATTTGCAATCAGTCTTCTTATCAGTTTTCCTCCATAAAACATCGTAAATGATAAAGATAGAGAACAAAGCACAACAGCTTTATCTGCTAAAGGATATGTACAGTACAAGTGAGATAGGTAGGTAGGGTTTGTGGAGACAGACGAACATTTTAGACAAATAATTATTTACTACTTTTTACAGGCCTGTTTTTTTTAATAATAAAATGTGGTTACACCTAATTCAAATAGTAGTTTTCTGCAGTATTTAAAGCAGCTCTACTGGTCATCCACTTCTGAGCCTTGCGTTTCTGAGTGCTGTGCTTGTCTGAAGAGGGCTTTTTGTTCTCCATCAGCTAGCCGCCTCCAGAGAGGTAGAGCCAGCCACAGGGCCAGTGTGTGTATGAGTGCCTTCCATGGTAACAATCACCCCAATGAAGCAGCCCCCTCTTCACGCTCACATGCCTGCTCTCGTCAGCCTCCTACCCAGGTCACGTGTGCGGGTCAACCTGGCCGACTCTCACCCCTCCTCATGCAGGACTCCTAAGAAGCCACACCTTGAAATGTTATGTCGCCTCCCACGGGCTTGTGTGGCAATAACACTGATCATAACAGTTCTTACATAAAAGCCGAGGCCACTAACACACTCACACACATACACACCACTCCTCAGTAACAGAGATAAAGTTTATTATTACTTTTGTAGATAAGCAGCCATCCCTGAACTTCAATCAGTCACATGAACCTAAAATAGAAACTATAGGGTAAATAGTCACTGGCTTTTATTTTCAGTACAATGAAATCATTGTTTTTAATGATAAAAGTACAATTGATCAATATCCCTTGTATGTTCACAAGGAATTTTAGCATCTTTTAGCTCTTTGTTTTGGTTTTCTGGTTGAGATATGGCAAGTCAGTCTTTTTTTTAGTTCTAGTATCAAACCTAGCCTCTTTTTAAAAAATACAAAACAAAACAAAAAGGCCTAAAGTCAGTCTCCCTTCATAGATTTTATTCTGTTGAGTTTTATTCACTGTGAAAGGCAGCGTTATCCATGCCTGCTCTATTTACCAGTTCTGATTTGCGTGGCAGTGTTGTCACTGTCCAGGGGCCATTGAGCTGGTCGCCAGGGCCCGCTGTGCTCACGGCCCGCCAAGCGTACCTGTAGCAAAGGAAAAGCAGGCCACTTAAGAGTGTGGCAGTGGAGGCACAGAGGCCCACTCCAATGGCTGAGCCAACTCGCTGGCTGACAGGAGGAGCAGGGATTTGGAACTCAGGAGGAAAGTCTATGGTGCTGTTTTTCAGCACAGAGTTCATGTTCCATGCCAGTGGCACCAAGGAGGACGTCCCTGTGAGCAAATACAGCGCCCCCGCCAGCAGGAAGACCAGCCTGATGCTCCTGCGATCTTCAACAGAGAAGTAGACCATCCTCACCGCCACTGCAGCACAAATGTTCCCGGCAAGACCAAAGATGGCCGCGAGCATCATCAGCACCTGAGCCACGGGGATCTCCACGGGAAGAAAGCTGTCCGATATGCTGATGCTTCGACAGTTCTCCATATCGGGAAGGACATGACTGTAGAAACACGTCCTCCATATACCAACCCAGGCCTCACCCGAGCTGATGATGGACGCATTGCCTACTCGCCAGAGACGCCACTCGTTGAGGCCGGCGGTGGTCATGGTGAGGATCCATGCCAGGAATCCGACTATCAGGCCCAGGAACTGCCAGTGAGCCGTGTGAGTGAGGTAAAGCATTGTTGTCCAGTGTGACCATTAATTCTCAGAGCGACCGATCGCTGGAGCCATCACTCCTGCTGCAAACAACAACACACACAGGGCCGTGGTAAGATGACCTGTGCGCTTCTCATGTACAAGTTAAGACTACGGCATTATTCTTAAATATTCATAAAGGGTATTTTGATTTGAAAAGAGCTCTGAGGGAACCTTTAAAGGGTTTGGTCACCACATTTAAGGCAGCATATTATTTCCATCTGCAGTCATTGGTGGTACATGAAGACAGTGGTATGATATGAAAGCTAGAAGCTGGGTTGCAAAGTGGTTAGCACCATATAAAAGAACTCATTTTAAACTAGACCTGAACCAGGTTCAGCTCATCATTTTCTTAGTCTTTACATTTAGCTAACCATACGTTGATTTGTTTTTTAAGGCTAATAATTTATGAAGTTACTCATTTTCCCATTACTTTTAATGACTACTTCAAGTGCCGCTCTTTATTATGTTTATTGAACACTCAAAAAAATATTTTAACTCATTGTTTGTCCAACTGATTCAGTAAAGGACTAGATGTTACAATCCCTGACAATCCCTTGCTTTAATGGAGAAAACCTTGGGGGATGGCTGTTATGAGGAAAAGCAGCCCAGAAACTTTACCAGCGGCAAACATCGTTGTGTGTCTCAACTTTCGTTTTTTTACCCAGGCTAATCTGCCATTTTTCCTTGGTTAGGTTTAGGGATTAGAGATCTGATCTAAATTATCATATTAAAATTTGGGACACATCTTCAGTAGTGGACCTTGGATTCATCGGGTGTTTCGGCCATTATTACTAGACACCCTCATCCAAGGAGGCCCTGCCAGGGTTGATCAGGCCCCAGAGTGTGTCACTGGTTTATGTTAAAATTGTTCTTTCTCTTCTGCTTTCTGCTGTTTAGTTTCCTACAGTTTATTCTATCTATTTAATGCAACTGAAAAATACTTACCTCTTTAACGTTTATGGAGTGCGAAGGTTCCTTTTCACTGCAGTTTGTGTCTTTAAAAAAATAAAATCAGGTGAACACTTTGACAAATAAAGAACCATTTCTAAATATTGCTGTGAACTTTTTGTATCTGTGCGTTGATTTTCTATGTAGTGTTTCTCGCTATACATACACGCTGTAGGTGAAAACTGCTGCATTTTATTTAGCAAGATACTTGAGGAGTTTTTGACCAGGATCATATGTTTAGAGCTGTGAGAAACTGAGCCACAGGTTCTGGAAATGTGTTCAAACTTTTGAGAAAAACTGTAATAAACATTTATCCAATCTGTTCGTCCATATTATCAGGCATCGATTTGATCTTTTAAATCTATGCACTCAGATAAAAATATCAACTGTTCACGCACAGCTTCTACCTTTTATCCATGATTTTGTCAAGCCTGAAACATATCAACTGCTAATGATATTTTTGTAGGATTTTTATTGTCATTTCAACAGGATGTAAAATTAAATTTTGCACTCAGGTCCAGGTCAACAAGAACAAGACTACATGAGAGATAGAATACATATTTACAATCTCATTTGATATAAATAAAACCCCCAACTACTTTTAACTTTTCTATTCATAATTTAAACCTTTTCTGTTTATCGAATGTTTTTCCACTTATGTGAAAAGCTTTCCATTCCCATTAAACCTTCAGTTAATTCCAGCTTTTTATTACAATTTTTTTATTCTCAAATGATAATTTAGTTTATCTCATATTAATGTGAGCGTGTCCTAACTTTGGCTACAGCAGAAACATCTTCTCATGCCAAATACAGAGAACAGAAACTAATCAGTGACCGAAGTCAGTGTATTAGAATATTTAACCTGTTGCTGAAGATATTTTGATAACTATGCAAACATTGCCTTTGAATATACAGCTTGGTTAAATCCTTTTAAAAAAATGTTTTGTATGCAAAGATAATGTAGCGTTACATGTTATTATATTAGTTAGTAGTTTAGCTTTTTATTCACTCCACTCATCCGGAACTACTGCACACATTCTTAAAGGTAGTCTTTGTTTCCTTACGTTAACAGCGTGGACATTGATTGACTTTTATAATAAAGCAGCTGCTGGACACAGGCATTAAGCATATGTTAACAAATATTCAGATTATTAATATTTAAGAATAACAGACAGCACTTAAAGCCACACATCTCCACTTTAGGTCACTAATTTGACTAAGTTCTGCTAAGATACGATCAGTTTAACATCTTCAGATTCAGTACGTTAAGGAGAAAGACGTTACCTTCCGATGTTTCAAAAACAGAGTTCTGCCAGTTATTGTGAAACTAGGAACAAAGCTACAGTAGAAACGAGGCGAGAGCTTGTTTTATTGTAGCCGTACATACCTGTCTGTGCCAGCACTGCTGTAGTTAATGATTATTCATTCAAATCTTTAAACCACTCCTAATAATATTTAATTATTTGACTCACCTAGATGCGTCTCACTTTATTAATAAAGATCGAATCCTTCCGATGAAGTGTGATTAGCTTTGGTTGCGTGACGGGGCTGTTAAATACGCTCCCTGCTATGTAGGAGTGTTTATCAGTAGAGAGAGGAAGGTGTGGTGGAGTTAATGAATGACACCAGAGAGAAGAAGACCTCAGTCAGACTCTACAGCAGACTCGTTTATTTGACAGAAAGGAGCACAGCTGATGAAGTTTTTAAGACATTTAGGATGTAGAAGTGCACGAAGTGTGTGAAACTGTAACAAACTGAAATGTGCAGGGAAAAAAAAAAGTTCTCCAGTATCTGGGAGACAGGTTTAATCCATAGAGTCTGAAATTTGAAGGTTAAGGTAAAAAAAAAAGAAGCTCTTTATCCATATCTGTTTGCATAATCATCAACCTGAACATCTTTTAGTGTTGAGATTCAACTTCTGCACCATGAAAAATAAAACCGCGGTGACGTGAGGAGACGAAACAGAAACACCTGGTCAACATGTACATGGTGACATCATCCTGTGGATTTTTACACTTTTCTGCCTGTGAATAAATCTAAAAAGCGCTCTGAATAACGCGACCTGCAGAAGTGGACTGAAGAGTGTGTGCAGTGGTTCTCGGCGCACTTCAAATGTGACCATTCAAGCCTGGACGTCAAGTGCTGCTTCTGTTTAGTGATGTTAAACACTCTCCTCTCTCTGCAGGTGCGTGCATCTTCATCTCGAGGAAATGTTTCTTCAGTGAGGAAAGCAGGGGCACGGGTATTTTATTAAAAAAAAAGGCCACTAGTTTGAGTGTAAAAGGTAAAGAATGATGAATTTACTGACATATTTAGCCAGATTTGACAGATCTCGCGACATTATTTATACTTGATAAATACTCTTAAATGCTCAGTGCGTAGCACGCATCAGCTAAATCGGTTGAAGATAAAATACTGTCTCCTCCAGATTCAAAAGGCTATAATAAATTACTAAAAAAAAAAAAAAAAAAAAAGCAAAAATGTCATAAAAGGGCATTAGGTACAGTGGTTGGTTGATGCCCCCCCCCCCCCCAAAAAAAAAAAAAAAAAAAATACCACCATCTTTACAAAAAGAAAGTTTTGTGGAGTTTTTTGTGGTTGTGATGTACACACATGCTCACAAAGTCAGGAAAATGCACCAAATAGGCTGTTTATGTGCAGATTTTCTTAACTATGCCGCCATCTGCTGGCCACAGGGCTCATGTGCAGCCAAAACCACGTGACTCTCAGACCCAGCAGTGTCTGTCCTCCTCAGAGGGCCAGCCGCTGCTCTATGGGCAGGCTGTCCATCAGACACTTCAGCTGCTCCTCGCCCAGCTTGATTTTATCCTCGAGCTTGCGCTGCTCGATAATGAGCGCCGACTTCATCTTCACAAAGTGCTCGTAGTCCGCGAGGCTGTCCTCCTGCAGGTAGCTCGCCAGGATCTCGTAAACCACACCCTCTCTGCGGTCCAGGTTCTCCTTCAGCTCCTTTGCGTCCTCGTGCTGTCGGATCAGCAGCTTCCTCTTCTCAATCAGCGTACGCTGATGAAGAAGAAAGAGAGAGTGTGAAAGGATGTATATTAACTGTCCCAAATCAAATTATTCATTTGGTATCGATACATCTAAATAAATCATTGCAAAAACAAGATTAAACAAAAAAAAGCCAGTTTTAAATCAAATTTGACCTTATTTGGAGCCTCATTTGGATCAAACATGCTTTCACACCCATAAGTCTTGAATGGTGAAAGTTCAAAAACTGTACCAATTAATATCCTAATTAAGGGATTGGTTAAATTGTACGTGCAGCATCTGTTTGAGTTTGGAGGTTTCCATCAAAGAAAAGCTTCAACTTGTTAGATCTTCCTTCCAGTAGCTCCACAGATGCCTTAAAGCTCTTCATGTAATGAGAACAAAGGGTTCAGGATAGATCTACTTTCCTTTGTCCTCTGTTTTTTCCCCAAACACTGAACCTGAAGGTGAGCCCAGCACACGCTGCATCCTGTGTGAGCCTCTGAAGTACTGCCTATTTATTTATACATATAGTATTAGTCAAATCTGACTTACTCAATACAATAACTGAAACATTTTGTGAAGCCATGCAAAACTTTCCATTCATATAATGATAAAAAAAATTAGTTTTAATAGATTTACAAGCCCTCAAAGTACATAAAAATATAGCTTTAAAAAAATTCTACCTTTTCTAGCTTTCATAAATTAATATGAATAAAATGGAGTCAGACACAAAACTTTCAGGGCTGAAAAACAATATTAAACACCAAAACCAAATCAATTACACCCACTCCAAGTAACAACAACGCAAAGCCAAAATCTCGCTTTTGTTCAGCGTTTTATCTTCAACTCTGATGTAAACATAAGGCGCTGGGGCCAGAATCAGCCCAGCAAAGACTTCAGTCCCGCCTACTGGATGGCTTTGGGAAATGTGACAGAGAACAGAGATTTTGGATTTTAACTCTATTTTCAGAAGTTTTGTACTTTTTCCTGCAGTTACTGATAAAGACCTCCTCCACGGCCATTAATACTACACCAAAGTAATTAAGTCATAAACATTTAATTCTTTAAAATTAAACCCAAAGAGTTATATTGACAGATTTCTGTTAAAATTGCACTTCTTTTTTATATATAAGAAAGCTCAGGGATTAAATGTGTAGTTTAACTACTGTACACCGGCAGAGAGGGCATCACTGATTACTGATTAAAGTGGGCTGGATGCGGACCGTGATGTTTGACATCCCTGATGCAGAGGAACGGAAATGAGCACTGGTACACTGAATGTTTTATTACTGGAGGAAATCTGAAAAAGTGCATTTGGTAAATTCTTTTGTACTTCAATCGCATGTAACTTGCAAATTTTTCTTAGCATGCAGGTCAAGTTTAGCATGGCTTCATGAAATAGACTAACTGACCTCTTCCAGCTGAACACTCACACTGAGCTTCTTTCATTCATTTTCCACCACTCGTTTGTGCCTGAAGTGGAACTTTATCTAAAATAATTCCTGAAGGTTTGCTCACCCTCTCCTCTGGTGTAGCATCCTCCTCCAGGCTGTTGAGGGCGTTCTCCACTCTGGCCAGGCGGCCCGACAGGGACAGCAGAAGGCTCACCACTTTATCCAGGTCCCCCACAAACATCTTGAACTTGTCCAGCTCGTTGGGTTTGCAGACCTGCTGGACCTGGGCTTCCACCTCTTCTCCCAGAGCGTTGTTGTCCAGGATGTCCTCCTGAAGACTCTCCCGGGCTTCCCGGAGCACCTGGAGCTTCTTGCTGAGGCTGTCGATCAGCTCTTGCTGCAGAAAAAGATGAAGCTGAGAGATTAGTCCAAAACAGTGCGAAGGGTAAAGCTTTTTAACTAGCAAACTCTGGTTTCTGGTACCTTCTTATTGGCCAAATCATTGTCCAGCTCATCTTCAGAGTCCTCCTCCTCCTGCTCCTGGTTCTGCATGCCCTTCATCTTAATAAGGAGCTCAGCTTTGGGAGCAGATGTACTGTAATATGCAGAGCTGGTCACCATCGAGGTAGCTGCTGCCACGTTGTCCTCCTTTTCCCTGAAATAAATTCAGTAAGAAACTCAGAAATGCAGAAAAGCATGAAAAGAGCATTTTCCAGGAAGTTTCACCTCATGACTAACAAGTATATGCAGACACACTCATCAGTTTGAACAAGGTGTGTTAAACAGGTAAGTGACTGACTCACAAGTTTAAATATGCCATAAAAGCAGCTTCACGACTGCAATGATGATGGGAGTCAGCGCTTTTTCATGTGGGTGCTTGCTTGTAAGTAAAAGTTCAAATTGATTACAGGAGCAGCTTTGTGGCGAGGGGAATACAAACATTTAAAGGGACAGTTCACCCCTACATCAGATTTACAGTTAAGTCTGTAAGTATCGGAACAATGAAACCTTTTTTTGCACACTAACACGGAGTAGAGTGAGATTATTAAAGCTGTAATCATGAGAAAAAAAAGAAAAAAAAGAAATGCCAATGACTTTAACACTGGGCAACTCGAACCAAAGTCTGAAAAATGTCATTGTGCTGCTCAGAGCTTCAAATCACATTTCCAAGCATCACAAGCCTAAAGATGAAGCACTGTGATTTGCTTGGTTATGCAAATTCTTCAGTAACACATTCAGTAACAGTAACAGCCACTGCTCTGTTATAGCTTAAAATTAAAAAACCATCATCTGCCGTCTGAGCTTCTCCTGCTGGTTTTATCACACAAGAGGATTTTTTCCATCCTTCTTCCCTTTTGTAGTTAATACAGCTGCCACTCCTTTTCCTGTTCAAGCCAACTTTTCAACCAATCAGCATTCTGCCTGCACGCAGACTCTATAATCGTCAATAATTTACTTTTACAAACACATGAGGCATTGCAGAGAAGACAAGGAGGACAGGAAGTTGGATACACGAGGTGTTTTTTCAGTTTTTAAAAATTATATCCAGTACAGGCTTAAAGCTCCTGCAACGCTACCAGTGCGACATGAAGTGACACAAAAAACAAAACTGTGTCAGATATGCACTCAAAGGCCTGAAAGTTGATTGTTCAAGCCAGCTTCTCGGCCAATGAAAGTGAAAGACAAGTTCACCAAATTAAATTTAGTTTTAAAAAGTTCACAGACTCTGTTGGTAGTGGTCAGTTTTACTCAATTATGATTGAATCATTTCTGCTGTCTTATCTGCAGTGGAACAAGGCTAAAGAACCAACAGCCCGGTTCTTCCTCATTCTTCTGACACTGCCCCCTGGTGACAGCATACATGAGTAGCGCCTATGGATGACCTCGATGCTCACCTTTCCTCAGCGGGCCGGGAGTTTGTCTGCTTTGGCTGCACCTTCCTGCGCTGGTGAGCTTCTTCCACCAGCTGCTCCCCTTGAGGGAAGATGCCCTCCATCAAGTCCATTGTGGTCTTCATCTTGCTCTGATCCAGAATATCTGCTAGTGACTTATCCTTCCCCATGATGTCCCTGGCCAGCTCCTCTCTTTTCTGATCCTCTGCCTTGGACACTCCTGTGTTTGTCGCCAATTTATTGCTGCTGGACACGTCTGTGGGTGGCGGCGGTTGGAGGTGATCTCCTATAGTGGTCATGTATGCGTCTCTCTGGGGCATCTGTTGCTTTTGAGGGTGTGGGACGCCATCGGGCTCCTTCTGCCTGGTGAAGGCGCAGAAGACAGAGTCCTGACCTGCAGCTCCGAGGCTGCCGAGCCGAGTCACGGCGTGCCCCTCGGCTTCAATGGCAGGGGGGCTGCTGTGCTGCAAAAACGGTGTATTTTCCTTCTCTGCATTTCCTCCCGAGTGCACAATCCTGATGGGCACTTTCCTCACTGCAGAGCTTTGGTTTTCTATCACATGCTCCATCCTGAAAAAGAGAGAGAGAAGAAAATTTCCACTTAGACAAGAAGAAAACGTCCTGATGTGGTTCTCTCAGCCATGAGCTGATTTAAAGTTTCATTGCATGATGGCAGAGGAGATTTTTTCCATGCCCAGCGTGCTCAGATATCTGAGACCTCTGGACTCCTCCCACCACTTTCTGTGGTACTGTACAGTCATAAGTTTGCTACAGATGATATCAATTAGGTCCGAATCAAGAAAATGAACAAACAGTTTCATGTTTGGGGCTTGAGAAATGGAGCCGTTTACATTTTGAGCAGAATAATCTCAGAACTGCTTGTGCCCTGCATTGAACTACAGAGAATCCCTCTAATTTACTGCGCCTTGATAGCACTCACATGTTGACTCTACAGAGGCAGCGACTCTCAATGAGCCCCTTTGTACTTGAAGCATAAAGACGCGATGAGCGGAGGAGTTACAGTAGCTGTTCAGAATGTTGTGGAGCTTTGAAATGTGTGGGGGGGAAAAAACAAAAAACGCCCAAACGTTACCTGTTTGAGAATTCATCCTGAAGAGAGACCGGAGGCCTGTCGCTGAGTCTCTGTGGGGAAAACTGAGGAGATGGTGAGCGGTGCCCCTCCATGCTGGCCAGCCCTGAAGGTCTGTAGGAGGACGCAGAGGGAGAGGCTGAGAGATGATGTCCTGCCCCTTGTCCTTTGCCCTGCTCAGAGTCTCCTTTAACAGCGTGGGTGTGGTTGAAGGCGGAGTTATGATCAGAGAGGTTTAAGCCTTCACTCTGGGAACCGGCGGAGGACTCGTGGGAGTCGACCTCTGGGCATCTGGGTGGAGGCAGAGGGTTCTCTAGTGCAGGGGGCTTTCTCCAGGGTCCAGAGTGCGGGTCTGTGTGACTGTGGTCCTCAGGCTGAGGGGGGGCAGTCTCTGTGAGGTCGAGAGTAATAGATGTGGGTCTGTGGCTGAGGGTGGCAGCAGCAGCTCTGTGTCTGCAGTCGGGGTCTGCTCCCGTCATGGGAGGAGGGGGTGGCGCTGAGTAATGTTCAAACTCTGCAGGCTTGTCTCTCACTTTACAATCACCTGGAGCTCTGTCAGGGAACCTGAGGAACACAAAGGAAAGCTTTTAATTACACAGCCAGGCAGCGTGGGCTATCATCAGCAGCTCAATCAAATAATACGCTGTGGCAGGGGCCTTGTTCTCCAGCAGCCACTATCATTACACCAGCACGACAAGACACACGTCTCTCCCTCTTTCTGCGGGTAACTGTTCAGCTGGCAGCCTGAGGAGGAATATTTCAGTTCCCACAAAGCCTGCAAAGAGGAATAAATAATCCTCTAGAAGCAGAAGAGCACTTTTTTCCCCCTGCCTCATTCATATTTGGAGTTTTAACTCCTTTGAGTGGAAACAGTGGAGGAGGAAAACGTGATGTGTGGAGGTCTTCAGAGTGCTGAAGGTGATTATAAACAGATTTAAACTTGTAGGTGTTTATCATTAAGCATGATTCGACTCTGCAGTGCAGAGAAAACAGGTCATTAACAGAGCCATTATATACTGGGTGCGATTTGCAAGGCTGCATGGAGAGGCATGAAGAGGCGTGGGGATTCTCCCCATCTGTCTCTGCAAAATTATTTTTTATCACAGGAATAATAAAGTATAATGTAGTCACTTAACAGTTGATGTCCGTTGGTCTGTTTTCCTCTGCCAGGTTCCTCGAAAAATAAACTTAATATGTAATTTTACCAGAAGACAGACTGCCTCTTTGGTTTTCCACGGTTATATTTGCACCACAGAACATTTAGCAAGGTTTTCAGCAGCCACTGCACTGACATACCGACACAAAGTATGAGTGAGTGAACACAACAGCCAGATCATACACAGCGACAACCCAGCAACCAATTAACTTCAGTCCAACTTCAAGAGCAATGTTGGTTCTTGGTGATCCAGGTCATGGGAGCTTGGAAAGAAAGTGACTGGACTTCTTGAAGTTTCTTTAAGACCTTTCGGCTCTCATCCGAGAAGCTTCTTCACTTCTAAAACCAAATGTTGGCGGCCACGTCCGAGATGTCTAACCAGACACTTTATCTTGGCCTTCATTAACCATAGGAGAAAACTCGTACGCTGGAAAACCAGTCTGTGCATTTATTACTTTGAGGATGGACTATTGTAATTATATTGTGATTTAATCCAGCCTGGTTCTGTTGCTGAGCACTTCCTGTTAAAAGGGCGTTCTTCCTTCCCACTCTCGCAGAGTCCTTTCTAATGGGGGATTATGAGATTGTTGGGGTTTTCTCTCCGATACTGTAAAACCTTTGTGTCAAAAAAAGATAAGGCTGCTTTAGGTGACGGTTGTTGTGAACTTGTGCTACATAAAACTAAATTGAAGGTTTCAGCTCTATTTAAAAGCTTTTGGTACAGATTATGATGAGAGGGAATAGCCTCAAGCAGAGAACTGAGTGGTTGGCGTTTTAGCAGCAGCACACGAGAGCATCGCCATACATGCTTTCCACTGTCAACCTGATTTAATCACGTCTGAATGCCTTCATCACTCAGACATGATTAAAGCATGCAAACATCTAGCTGTAATAGTGTGGTTTCCTGCACACAGATTACATTTCCAAACATGCTCCAATACAACCTTAATGTGGAGCATTCAGACAACACTGACTCATATACCATGCAGCTTTAATCTGCCATTGTAAGATAAAACGGCGCTCCAGGTGGACAGGCAGACGCCGTAACTCAAACATCCCAATATGAATCCATACAAGCTGCTTCCACCGGGCAAAGTGTGAGAACGTGGTAAGCTGGTAAAAAAAAATTAAAAATATGTAAAACTGAGGTATGATTATCAATGTTCATGAAACAGTCGCTTTTGTCTTCCACTTATTTTATATTTTTAATTATTATTTATTTTTGTTGCTTTGGTGAAATTTTGATCTAATGACCTAAAGCTTCAAGCTGCATTTATTTAAATTCTTCACAGTCATTTATTTTGGTTTTTAATGAGAGTTTTTCCTTTTATTTGTCATCTTTGACAAACTGTAAATAATCATAATCAAGTGCCACCACCCCACAGCCATTTTAATGTCTCAGGGCAGTTAATTTGAAGCATTTACTTTTTTAAAAGGTTTTAAAAAGGTAACATTTTAGTGTGAAAGACTGAGTAAAAGTCTATCACATCTCACCATTATTATTTATTATTATTTTTTTTTTTTTTTTTGTTGTTGTTTTTTTTTTTAAATGGGGGTAAAAGAAACATCCAAATATCAGTATAATTACATAAACTTCTAAATAAAGGTAACACAGAGTCTTTGGCTTGACTTAATTACGTTTACATATAGAGACACCCACCAAAGAGCAGGAAAAACCCTGCTCATGCGTACCATGAGTTTTAAAAGGTATTATTATATAGGTATATTTATAGGTACTTTATAATTTAGAGTATCTGCCATAGATAAAGAAAACATAAACAGACCCATTAAAAATGATATATTCCTTTACAAAGTGTAATAAATGACATCTGCCATTTTAGCTTGGTCACTTTAGGTCTAAAACAGACAAATACGTATTAAATAACTCACCCTATGTGACGCTTTAATCTCGTCATTTCCACTGAACTGAAGAAAAAGTGAGTGTCTGGCGGCTCTCTGTGACAGGAGGCACCTGTTGGTGTCTCTTTACACTTGTATCAGTAACAATAACTGGGTGGAGCACGGATCACTTAAGCCATCTCGCAGACTATCAATGACAATACCACCCTCTGAGCCGTGGTTGTTATGGAAACGTGAGAGGTTGCTCAACATCGGATACTCGACACCCCCATGAGAGTTTAGGTAGTGACAAAAGACTCCTGAATAACTGGTTACAAAGCATGAAGTCACCCTCCCCACGTCACCATACATGGCTCAAAACTGAATCATAATAATCAGAGAAACCTTTCAAAACTACTGACTGACCTTTTTAAAATGATCCCATCTTGAGCTTCTATAATAATTAAAGCTAAACTACAATATTTTGGTTTTACCATCCATACATTTGAGGAAGGACGTGACGGGCCGGATGTAGCTCGTGGAAAAACACGAAACAATCAAAGCAGTGGATTTGCTGATAGAGAAGGACAGGTGGAACAGGTGACGCTACATTTGAGCATTTTACACAATATATGAGAGTCATCGAAGGAGAACTCGTCAGCTGTCACCAGCAACACAAACAGTCACCATGGAGCGGGATTAATCAGTCATTAATCCATTTTAACAAACACACAGACAGACATTGACAGACAGCTTCGCTGAAGCTTAAATATAAACATACTGTATGACACATAATATTTCCACACTTACTTACAATGGAGAAATTTCTGTATATATATTTATTAACTATATACATAACTTAATCAGTCCCCAGGTCCCTGTCACACTCAGAGGTGATTAGTTAGAGAAAAAGGACATAAATATGATTGCTTAAGTTATTTATTTTGTTCATTATGTACTTAAATCGCACAAATTAATTTCATGGTGGAATTCAGTAGCTGTAATAGCTGAGATATCCCAGTCTGGATATTTGTGTTGCACCAAACAGTCCTGCATTCTCAGAATCCCACAGCTGGAACTGCCAAAAAAACCAGTTATGCAGACTGGCAGATCTTATCGATGATAATGTCATGCCTTCGAGCTGGCCCCCTGCACTCCGGGCCCTCATATATTCCCATGCAGGGCTGAAGAAATGCTTTATTGCCGTCACGGACACTTTCAGATGCCTCGCCTACACCGCTAAGCCTCCACTAAACGACACAATAGTCAGCCAGAGAGACGGCTTATGTTGTTACAGCTGCGCCCAGACAGCGCCACTGTTAACAGATTATAAAGACTTCAGTGTTCCTCCAAAAGCTTTGTGCCCTCTTTTACTGATAACGCTCACGAGCATAATAACACGAAGATGGTGCGGGAAGAGCAAAACAAGTATTCAATGTTAAATTGCTCACTGAAGATAATAATTTTATAACATTAGCCTGTGAGATAAGCAATGATGCAAATACATGTAAGAACACCAATTGTTCTGCTGCTGCCGTATAGTGGAGATAACACCAGCCCGATGCCATAGCTGGTATATTTTCATGACATTTTACCAAAATCTTTATAGAAGCAAGTTTTGCCACTTGGTAGCCATGTTGAAATGCCCTGAGACCCTTATTTGAGCAGCCTTATTATCTAGAATAATGATTTTAAAGATCACTGATACACAAAATCTGCACAAACAGTCATTATACAGCTTTTTGAAAATTAGTAACACATTTAAAATAACACCATCCATCCATTCACTCTGATCTGCTTATCCAATTTAGGGTCGCAGAGCTTACCACAGCTACCACTGGGCAAGAGGCAGGTACACCCCTGGACAGGTCACCAACCCGTCGCAGCGCTAACACGTTAAAATAACACAAAGTGTAATTTAGTCTTGGTGTGAGTATGGGAATATTTCACAACTCCTCCATGCCTATATCGTCTAAGTGTGGTTATTTCACTACATTAAAAAAATGTGTGTTCAGGGAGATGGAAACAGTGACTGAGTATTTCCCAAATGATAATCACTGTGTTTTAACTGTATTAGTATATTAGTTGTGTACCCCAGTATAACCCAAAAAATTAACTTACTAAAAAACTTCTAAAATACCAAAAATATTAAACAATAACTGCTTTAGCTTAAGATATTATGGGTTTGGGCTAATCTGTCAACACAAGACAATCTCAGGAGGCCTTAGGGGAGACCATTCCTGATACTGGGAGGTCTATATGACTGAGAGTCGAGTGTTTGCACTACCTGCTCTCAACTTAAAATCAGCCCCAGAATAATAAACTCCCCAGATTATAATAAAAAAGTAAACCAAAACTAAACATCATTAAAACGATAAAGACCAAACAGAAACTAGCAAACCCACTCTGGAAACCAACAATGAATTGAAAACAATTAAATCATTAAAATCTAAATAAAAACACAAAACATATAATATCAGTGTTGTAGAATCAACAGCCAAATCTGATTAAAAACTATTCATGCATTGCAGCCTTTGACCCAAAACAAGACCTCTAACGAGCCTTTTCACTGACAGGAAGTTGCTACTTTATCACCACTTTTGCTGTTGCCTAATTCTCACACAGGTTTTAATTCAGGATTCATCCAGGGCCATGATATCGCTCTTTCATAACGTCTTTGGATTTACTCACCATGTGTCAGAGCTGAGTGGTTCAGCTGGTTTACTCTCTGGCTCTGAATACTCTGCCTCTGACTTCTTTGCAGGAACTGGAATCTTCTGTAAATAAAGTCGAACAAATGCATTTATGCACAAACATCCACGGCAGACAGGCTCCCAGGTACCCCAGAGGCTTAACTTTTCTTTCGATAATTATTCAAACCAACTCATGATGCTGCTTCCTGGTTTCTCAGCAGTGAAAGGGTTGCCCCTTTCTCTTCCTTAAGTTGAGGGTGTGCCACTAAGAATAAACATGGATTAATATTTGACTTGGCTTCTCTTTTGTCGCTGTACCTTCAGTCAGCACTTTTGCTCTTAATGAGATGTAAAGGCCACCAGTAGGGTTTGACACACCAGGGACTTCTAAATAATGAAAAAAATCTCATGCATTGATAATTCTATCTTAACAAAAGTTACTCTGAGATCATGGACCTCATGAGATTTCATGCCTCACCTGTTCGTAGACTTCTGTAGATGGAGACGATCTGAACCTCTCATGGGAACAGGTGGTTCTGGCTCTCTCCTCGGTTCCTGGATCGAGTATGTTATCAGCTGACTTGTACCGTCCAGAGACTCTTTTCTCTGAAGGTTTCTTCTGTGTATTCCAGCTGGCCTCATACTCGGCAAATGTGCCCAGTCTTTGCTGGTCTTGGATGGACTGCTTTTGTGTAGAAACTCTGAAGGCCTCCTCAGCGTAATCTCTACCTTTGATTCCTTTCATTGCATTCTCTGTTGCACCAACAGAGGCGGGTTCTTGACTTTGGCGCTTGATATGGCTCTCAAGGGGGATGTGGTGAGGGAGACCTGGTTTCCTACCGTCTTCAAAGAGTATCTGCTGGTCTAATGAGGAGCTTGTATTATCACTTGGAGCGACACCCTCTTTCGTCCCCACTTTGTGAATTTTGTCTGGTTCAGAGAAAGACTTGACTTTCTTTTCTGCAGGAAAATGCTTTCGACCACCAGTGCGAGTCACCTGACCTCCTGAATGGCTCGTTGCTGACTGTGTGACAGCTGGCAGAGGCGTGACATCTTTGCGAGCTTGTGCCGAGGATGGGTAGTTAGGTAAAGCCTCAGCATTAGAGTGCTCCGGTAAAACTAGCTCCAGGTCTCTCCTCCTAAAAGATGTAGCCTTGAGCACCCTCTCTTGCACTTCCTTCAGGTGGTCCTTGTAGGAGCTGGAGGAGGAGGTTGGAGTTGTACTTTCGGTGGATTTCCGGATGTCCTGATCTTCTTTAGCCTGACCCTCAACCCAGGGGAGGACAGCCGCACTTTTACTTTTCTGCAGCTTTGCTCTTCTCATCTGGATTTCGTTTCTCAGTGTGGTGGCAAAGCGGTCTTCGCGCTTTAACTGCTTAGCTTCAGTGAACTCGTCAGAAACTGCACCGCCTCTTCCTCTATCATCTTGCCCTGCGACATCCAAAGACAGTGAGTGGAGCATGGGGTTGGCCTGGGGGGAGATGTTGTTGCTCTTTTGGCTGTCGTGCTTGACATCTTGGGGCAGTTCTCTGTGTTGCAGTGGTAGAAGCCGGCGCTGTTCAGACTGACTGCTGTGCCGAGATTCTTCTGTCTGTGTATTGTGCCCTCTCTGGCCTCCCCAATCTTCTGAGCCCGTTTTAAGTGCAGGGTTTTCATGTACACTAGTGACTTGGTGCTTGCTGTACCCATTGGTGTCTTTAGTGTGTGAGTGCTGCTGCTGTTGGGGCAGATGATACTTCACTTTAGCAACCGTCAGCGGACTGTGAGAGGTTCGCTCATTTCCAGTCGGTGGCAGATATGTCGCACAGCCCCTGTCCTCTGGTATTCCTGACAAAGACACAGGGTTCGGCTGTGTGGGCTGGCATGTAGTCACACAGTAGTAACGGCTGTGCCCGCTGTTCTCTGTGTTTTGGTCAGGCCCTGTAGAGGAACTTAAGTTCTTTCTCTGGCTCTGGCCAGTGTGTTGCGTTGAACCGTTAGCAGATACCTCCTGCATGCTGTAATAGTACCCACCTACGTTCTTTGGCTTTGGTGCAGAAGTAGCCCAAGGCTGAGGATGAAAAGTGGTTTTCTCGCTGTGGTGTCTTTGATGGTAAGGTTGGTTAACATGGGTGGGCTGCCGAACATCACTGGAGTGGGAATACCGTTTGTTTGAAGTGAACTGGTCCTGATGGGATTTTTCAGACTGAAAGTAAAAACTGTCATGGTCGTTCTTCGGGGAAATGTTGTGACAGCGATTTTCACATGAAGCTCTGGATTGCAGGTGGGAATCGATTCCTTCGGGGTGAGCAATCACCAGCCCTCTTTCATGGACTTTAGTAGCAGCAAAACTATCACTGCGTGTGGGTGGTGGTGGAGGCGGAGGAGAAGAAGAAGCAGTTTTCTTTTTCTCGGGGACGTTCCAAACAGGCCCAAAGCTGGTTCTACTTGAAGTTGAATGGTAGGAACCAGCCGGTTCCTCGGTCTGTGGACCATCGCAGCCTGAGCTGACGCCTGGCATCTGAAAATACGTGAGCCTGTCATCCTGTCTGACTCCTTCTGCAGCCAAGCTGTGGCCATTTCTGCCACTGCTGTTGTGCTTTCCTCCCCCCTCCCACTGCCCGACTTTATAGACCATGTTCTCTGTTGAAGCAGCATTGCTTTTTGAGAGGGTGTAGTCCGGCGTGCTGGAGCTGGTGGAGAAAGAGCTGTAGGCCGAGTCTCTTTTCCCTCCTCCGAGTTGCTCCATGCTGTTGTTTGACTTGGCGTGTGAGAGCTGACCAGCGGCGTATGGGTGTGACACATGCTCTAGGCTGTCCATGCTGCCGTGAGAGCTGAACTGGTTGGACACTCTGCGCAGGTTTGTTTGCTCCCAGCTGGTGGAGAGATTGGCCGATGACGAGCTAGAGGTTAAGAGAAATGACAGGTTTTTGAACACCAGAAGAAGAACAACTGGTTTTTCAGCTGTAAAAGTTTGCCGTTAATAATAAAGGGATCTAAATCTGTACCACTATGTAACCTGTTCGTTTTATCACATTTAGATGTAGTTAATTATAAGCTTTTTGGACACCAAACAACACAGACACACAATTAAACACAGATTAAACACTTTATCTTAAAACCTGTTAAATATACATTATTTGAGCCATTTGCTACATTCAGGCCAATTGAATCTCAGGTGGGTCCAGCACAGAGTTGCACGATGAAAGAAAGACACTTTGGCGGCCTTGTGCTGGCTCCTGCACCACATGCTTGACACCCCTGTCTTATTGTGTATTTGGCCTTTCGGTGTATGGGTATAATGTGAGACTGGTCTACATCATGACTATTGCTTGAAATGCAAAAACTAAATACAAAAATAAATGAATCCAATTTTAATTTCTTTTTTATTTCCATTAATAAAAAAAAACAACTGAGATAGAAAGCATTTGGTACTTCGTGTGTTCATTTTCACTATGAAGCTCATGTTTTTTTCTTATGTTACAAATCAAAAGCAGCCCTTTCTGTTCAGCACATCTATGAAAGGTCACTCACTGGATGTTTAGTTCGGCTTAAGCCAAACATCACTAAAAGAGAGCCTTCTGTCACCAAGATCTATCTAGAAGACAAACCTTTCAAGGTTTTCAAGGTATGTGGGCCAGTGAAAGGATCGACTATCTGCTACCTGCAGCTGTGTCTCCTATTCTCTCAGAATCTTTGACCATCTTTAGGTGGTAATAGCTTCGGCTCTGTCACTCAAACCTTGACACCGTGGAGGTCTCCTGTGGTGAGTGAGTCATCGGGTCTGGTCCTCTCTTCGTCCTTGTCGGCACCTTAAAACATCCTTCAGCAGAGGCAGGCTGGCAGGTACTCATAGCTGCCCTCATGAGACAGACTCTTAGCCTGGTCTTAACTCTTTGTAGGTTGGGTTGTACCAGTGTCTTCCACCAAAGCTACTACTTTTAATGTATTTGTTTTGCATTTAAAATATATTTAAAACTAAGCAAAGTCCCAAGTAAAAAAAGAAATATTTTACAGTTTAGGTTTTTTGCCTCATAGCTCCACTCTGATTTGTAAATGAGGTTGCACATTTCAGGGGCTTCATCACTTGCTTTATAAAGGATTGTTTGTGAAATTTCTTTGTGAAGTTTAATTTTTTTGGTTTCTTTTAAACACTGAAAGATAAATTTAGTGGGGAAAATTTCTTCTGGAGTGGTTTTGCTGGTCAGGCCCAGTTGAGATCCAATTGGGCCCATGAACAAAAACGGGTTTGACGCCCTTGATTTAGAGCTTACAGGACACGAAGCACATAATCACATACTGCTGATCAAAAGTGCTTATGTGCAACATTCAGAGTCTGAGGTACCTTGCATCATAGTGAGTGTGCCAGACTGCCGCGGGTGGAGACTGTGTTTTGGCAGTCCCTGGTTGGCTTTCATTGAACTTGGTGGAGTGCCAGGAGTGAGGCCTACTTATAGGTTCATTCCTCCTGCAGAGAGGGCAAAAAACACAGACTAGGATTAGAGACCAAATCCTTATGGAAAACAGTATGTGCTTCCACATAATGAGCCACTACAACTGGAAGATGCTGCTAAAGACACTAATGTGACCCAATAAGCAAAAACATTGCACATTTTGTGTAAAGTTGGATGTTTTTTTAATCACACTGGAGTCAGACTTCTGCTGCGATATGTTTTTTTTTCATTCTGCTGAAACACAAGAGCCAGGCCTGATTGTTCAGAGGTGAAACCACTCATTACACCTTTAATGGTCTTCACCCTGAGTTGAAATTTAAATAATAAAATGGTCGGGAGTGAGCACTATGATTAGTCACTAACGTTTTACAAAGAGGGACAATCAGTTATGTGAATATGTGAAGCAAAAACAGCAGATGTTGCAGAAATAAATCACTTTTGGGGAAAGAAAAAATCATTCATAGGTGTCTACACTATTGTGAACCAACTAATTTCAGTCATTAAAGCTCTGCAAAAAGGCCTGAAGTACGCTCATCTCTGTCCTTGAAGGTTTGGGTCTGTACAGGCCCCAAACCACCTTCAGTAAAGGAGATATCCACATTAAAAAACAAAACAAAACAAAAAACATGCAAGCTTTTCTTAAAATCAATTTTACACCCACTCCAAGTGTCACAATCTAAAGCTAAAACCTGGTTTTTGAAGTTTTCTTCAACAAATTTTTAGGAAAAAAGGAAACTTAAAAGTATCATTTCAACCTAAGCTATGTACTTTGAGTACCTATAACTCAGGAAATCTTAATTATATGAAGGCAAAGTTTAGTTTAATTAAATATACTAAAGTTAATTTACAAAAAAAAAACCCAAACAAACTGTGTTTCTTTGGGAACTTTCTTTAGACCTGACTGATTTTATATAGAGTGAACACCCTCCCTCCACTATGACTGACAAGGCATGAATGAAAAGCCACTCACTCTCCTCCAAGAGCAGCACCCTGGGGATTTGCTGTTTTTGCCCAAAACAATCAGCTCCCTGCTTGCTTTTTTTTTTTTTTTTTTTTTTAAAAAAAACAACAACTATATAGCAGTTATATATCCTATAAAAGCCACTTTGCAGCCTTCGTTCCTTGAGTTGGGCTCAGTTAAATCCAGAAGTGATGGAACTTTGACCATCAGGACCCTCAGCTGTGAAACGACCTGCCTGAAGAGGTGAGGCTCAGAGAATCAGTAACAACCTTTAAGCCTGTTCTTAAAATCACAGCTTTCTCATTTGTTATGCATGTCGTCGTCCTTTTCATTGAGTGTATTCATCCTTTTCAGTTTTCTTCCTACACCTCTGTGTGATTTTTCTGTTTGAATCTACACCTTGAGTGAGCTGCTGCTTGTCTGTCAAACTATTACTTCCCTGATTAACCAGATATTTATATTTATAAGAAACCTACCCTTTTAGGTGCTGCTTTCTGAGATCCATGTCACAAATCAAACAAACATGAAAAACAACAAAGTTTCATTAATTGTATTATCAGTTACTAGCAGATAATGAACTGCATGCTGTATGAATGGGATGAACATCATTCATCTAATGAACCACAACACAGAAAGGCATGCCGATGGGTGCAGATAGACTTTCTATGAGAGCAGTAATAAAATCACTACATATATGATTTATGTGATTATGGGCAGACAAAAAGGAATGGAGGACAGGAGAGGAAGAAAAAATGTTCACTACGGATTACAATGAAGCTGCAGGTTCGTACCTCATGGAACTTCGCAAAATCTTCGTAAGAAAGCTTCTCGCCACAAGCACGTCATTCTCTGAGGGCATTTTCTGAGCTACAATATCCACCATTTTCATATTCCTGGGCAGCAAGGGGAGGAACACATACACACATACTAAGAGCTCGACTGGCATACACAGGACAACCTCACACTTAGAGGTCAGTGTCTCACAAACTGAGCAGGACAAGTGATCCTGAACCTTCAAATGACCCCCAGCCCTACTTCACCTACAACTTTTATTTACATGTTTACAAACTGTAATGGACACATTGGTGTGGCATGGATATGGGAAATTTGTGTAGGGTCAAATATATTTATGCTTTTATCATTATAGGCTTTGATTTTTGTTGTAATTTTTCCCCATCTAGTCACTGCATTTTTATGTTGTGCTGCAAAAGCCTACAGGCAGAAATGAACGCCATTAATGTGGATATATGAAACTAAAAAAAAAAAAGAAGACTTTTTGATTATTTTGTTTTAATCGTCAGTGGAAGCCAAAAATCATAATGATATAAAAATATAATTATAATTAATGGGAGGCATTATTTATCACTGAGTATTCTCATAGGCAGGACAGCCAAGGAACGTGTATTACAGCTCTGGAGACGCCTGCTGATATGTAGCGTTAGAGCCCCCTCTACTGGTCAAAAACTGATGACACTGTCACAGCATGAGCATGCTCAAAGTCAGGGCATGTGCATGAGGTCATACCTGGTCACGATGGACAGAAAAGTACATTACAGAGCAAATGCAGTTTCACTGATCGGTCATTAGGCTCATTATGTGAGCGTAGCTGAGGTGAGCTCAGACTTTGCCATATGGTCTGTGAGGGAACAGCAGCCCAGCATGGGGTGGGGGCGCTTAAGAGGACAGACGATCTCTTACACAGTCAGATCAGCCTCTTCACCCCTCAATGCAAGCTGTCGTCTGCCTCCCAGACCGCCTCTCTGTCCCCACCGAGGTTAAACTGACACAGTTTGACAGGAACGAGGAAATGAGGAGAACCTTGTAGTTACACCTGCAGTCGTTAAAATAACCGTGTTTGGTTTTATAATTCAACATTTCTGGCCAATCTGGAAATTTGTGTCAAATGAGCCAAAACACTAAACTCAACCTATAACAAGACAGCTGAAATAGAGGAATCACGATAACTGTGACTTTATATGATATAGATGGTGTTAATAATGCTCAAGATTTTTGAGACCGATGCAGATATTTGGCATCGAAAAATATTACAGGCTGATTATCACTCGTTTATGTTTCATGTGTTCAGACACAAGAAACGTAACGGTCGTTGTTTGTAGCTGTTCACTGACTTTTATCTAACCTCTACCCTGTTTTGGGAGGCAGGTCTAGCCAACAACTCGTTGACCCTAAGATGAGGGAAACTCAGGTTTTTGTTACAGAAAGATTTACCTTTAATTCTGAGTCAGTTACCATGGTAACAGAGTCTGAAGTAAAGCTGCAGATTTGGCCCCATTTATAATGGCTTAATTCTTATTTAAAATAGCTCATCCTCCCACAACTACAATGGAATATTTAAAATATATACAAGCTTAGACATTTCTTACAGCATGTTTTCCTTTACTGACAAAACTTTAAATGTATTAAAGACTTGGAAAGCCAATCTGCATTTTTTCAGTTAAACTATTACTGAACTCTTCACTCCTAAAACATCTCTGGTATGGCTGTAAGAGAGCCATCATCAATCAGTGAAGGCTGATGTTGGATCAGATTGGAAATAGTTCTTATTTCAATCTCATGAAGCTTTTTTATCCTCACTGGATAATTACTGGAACAACAAAATGGTAAGAACCTGTAGCAAAAATAACTTTTACCTAATAAAAGGGCCGTCAGTAAACTGTGTCTGATGCATTTCTCCAGATTTTATCTTCAGTTTCTGTCACCTACATTTTGTCCCTCTCAGGTTACAGCTGAATAATTAGATTTAGAAATTAAATGTTTCATCTAATGAAATTTCAAGTTGAGCAAGTACATATAAAAAAAAAAAACCCTCATATTATATTATGGTCAGCACTGATACGGTCTGCTGGAAGGCTCTGTTCTACTCAGAGTTTGTTAAACATGCTTCCTGGACACAGATCACATCATTTATCAGTCTTTATAATCGCTGATATTGAGAGACCTGTAAATTCCTAATACTGACCCAGCAATGAATTGGCTGGGCTCTAATAAAACTAAACAACTGTGCAGCTGTGCTTTTTGTTTTCTCTCATTATTCTGCAATTTTTTGCCAATTTGCTAAACAAAAATGTGTTTTTGGTTGAAACATATTTTTATAGGCGAGAATAACATCATTCAGTGATCCTCAGCAATGCAGTTGTAGGCTACTAATAAAGTTTGAGTTGGTAAAAATATTCTCAAATATTACACGAGAAACCAAACAAAACATTTTGATGTTACTGGTACTGCCTGAACTCTGGGGACAACAAACTTTTTCTTTCATTTTTAAAGGACGTGTTTGCTGAATCAGGGACTCAGGCCTTCTGGGTTAGAAAATCCATTATCCATCTATCAACTGATATAGTTCTGAAGAGTTTAACACTTCAGAACTATGCCCATCGTGTTTTAATTCAGTTATTCAATGTGTTGCACTTTGTCTACTTTCAGTATGGCTCTCTGGAAAATAATGTTCTGAACTCTGTGCTAGAAACCTCGGGGTCAATAGTTTCTGCCCCTTAAGTCACTTTGCTCTCAGCAGTCTGATGGTAAGCGATTCAAACAGCAGCTTCCTTCAGATGGAGACATGAAAACAATTTTCATAACCTAAGCTTTTATTTTTGCACCCTGCACTCTTTTTATAGATTGAGATTTAAGGTTAAGCTCAATAAAGTGGGACGATTCCACAAAATTAATTGTGGATTAGAGTTAAGGCCTATTTAGAGGACAAAGAAAAGCCAACACGGGGGCTCGGTCTTCCTCATCTCCCATCAGTCCATGTTTCTGGGGCACTAGCCGCTAACCACACATGGCGCCTGCTATTGGTATGCAAATGAGGCTGGTTTTATTAGGCCTATCGTCAGGGCTACAGCTGGACCAGCACAGATATGCTTGGAAAGTGAATCAGATGGCATGAAGGGGGGGGGTAGATTTTTACTGACTGACCAGTTTAGATTCAGTTTCAAATGACAAGTACCAGCAAAAAAACCCCAAAAAGCTTAACAACTAATGGTCAGTTAATTAATACTTTATTCACAGATTTTTTTGGGTAGCTAAAATCCTTTCAGTCAAAGATTAATATGCATCTGGTTTTGAAATGTTAAGTCTTGCTGATCATGGCTTAACCTAAAATAATGGGTGACCTCTTACTGAGTGATAAGACAGAAGCAATCACAACAATAACAGAGTATTAGGGTCAGAAAAACAAGCACAGAGGCCCCAGATGTGTGACAGGACAAAAAAAAAGCCTCCAAACATTGAAATCAAAGGTTTGAATTTAAGAAGCGAATAAATCATTAAATAAAGTTCATTAGCACTCACCAAAGATCTGCACGAAGGAATTCAGAAATGACACAAAGAAGGAAATCTGCTTTTTTAAAGATACTCCTATAATATCAGGCTGGAAATCAGTTTCAAGGACCAGCTGCGTCCATGTGCTGGTCAGGCACCACATTCCAATGCCACTTCAAAGACGCGCCGAAATAAAGAGGCACACAGGCCGCTGGGTATCATCCATACCACCAAACTCACAGGCCAGGGATAGCTCACGTGCAATATTCAACACAGAATAGCCATTACTAAAACTAAGTCCTCCTGATAGATTTAGGCTGAGCAGAGAGGAGATTTCCTTCAGGATTACTTGGGTTTTTCCCCTGAGAGGGGGTGCAGGAGTGGGCAGAAATGGAGGAGGAGGGCTATTGTCACAGCCAGCCCGTACCTTGCCCCGTCTCATTGGCTCCAAAGGGCTAATATGCTAATGATGGGATGAAATGCCGGACTTTTCTCTTCCCTTCCCATCTCCCCTGTTGTGAGGCAGACATGCATTTATACCATTACTATGGCAACAGGTTGATCTCTAGGGTGTGAGGGCACCCAGTTTCCCGAAAGCCTCCATTATAGAGCATGGCTAAGGAAGGAACATCAGCAACAACAACAGACTTAGCATTAAATTGTGCTTCTTACTCTAAGTGTAGCCTTATAACTGCTGTTAAAGTAAATTAGAAAATTACTTCTGAAGATGAGCCTGGTATCAAAATGCAGAGAAAACAAAAAAAAGGAAACCTTACGTTGTAATTTCTTTTGAAAAGTCAATGACAGGTTGATATTGCCCTTTAAATTTAAACCTTTCTGACATTAATTATCAGAAAACATCCAGGTTACCAGTGCATGTTCCTAATTAACGACATCACACAAGAGCAAAATATGGCCCAAGGGCTGAAAATGGCCTGCAAACCATCTTTATCTAACACTAACAACCTAAAAGGCAAATGAAACTATGTCAGCCACCCAATAAGAGCCAGAACGTTTGCCTTTTTTCTGGGGAGGCATCTCCACCTGCAGCAGGCTCTGGTTAGAGTGACCCTCCAGCTCACAGAGGCTCTCCAGAACAGAACAAAAACTACCATCATGGTGGACTTTCAAGTCTGTCTGACTATGGGGGTGGTGGACTATGGGGACCATCACTATCACAGGAAAGCAGAAAAACAGCAACTTAAGTTTCAAAGTAAGATAGGGCTCATTTTTTAAACCATCTGATTGTCTCACACAGATAAAAAAAATAAATCCCATGAAAAATCTTGGTGGAAAGTAATTCACTAATTTCGCTGTATTTGTAGTACCATGTGCTCATAAATAGAGGTTTTCTTTATTTGTTGATACAGATCTTTTCTGTGATGGTATCAAAATTACAGTAAAGTAACACGGGTCACATAAAATGAAGACATTTGTAGACACTCTTCATCCCTGTGTGTCTCGTTTTTTTTTTTGCCTTGTCAATCTTTGGCATTTTGCTTCTTGTATCTAAGTCAGTCTGGCCCTATGAGGAAAAAAAAGGTTGCCCACCTCTGCACTAGAATCTACTGATGCTGAGAAGTAGAGAAGTGGCAGATGTGTCATTTGTTCTATTAGGTTATTGCCCGCAGTGTGTGAGCTAATGTCACACATCTTAAATAAATAGTTGGGAAATTAACAAAAATCCTATCCAATTGGCTGTTTCCCCCCCAAATTAATGGAGACTATAAGACATTTAAACTCTTATTTTCCTTCATTTCAATTTCACTTTCAATGACCTGTCATGCCACCTTCAAAAAAGAAAAAATCAATCAATTTCTTACAAGAATATTTAACTTTGTGCGATGGAGAGCAAGCACAAATTCCTGAGTGTTTTTTTTCCCCGACTAAAAATGTGCTCTGGCACCACCAGCAAGAGGTCTGGTGACAGGCAAGAAGATTAGTGAAGAAAGGTTGCACCCTAAAGCTGATAGGAAGGCAATAAAATTCACAGTCTTCTATTGTGAGGGAAGCAATCAAGCGTACAATCCATCTGAACAAGGTCTGCATTGTGAGGCTCAGCTGTGGGATTATGTTCTTCACAGGTTTAACAAACGCAGCTGATATCATTAACATTTGTTGCAATATCTACGATTAAAAACCTAAATGTAACAAGAAAGCACATGTTAGTGACCTAAAAAGATGGAGCATTAAAAGCAACGATAACAAAAGGTGAGGTTGTGAGTGCCAAACCTGCACTTTTCAGGTAAACTGTTGGGCTGTATTTGGTCTCTAAAAAGGCGCTCACAAAGACCTTCTTCAGCAAATCCTACAATCAAACCAGTCATGTTTCGGGTGAGAGAGGTGAACCGTGAGCAGCACGTAATGACCAGCACATTCCTGGGCTGAGTGGCATACCAGCTGTCAAGTCACCGGCTGCTGCACTGACCAGAGACCAGAAACACCTGGAAACCTTTTTCATTTTCGGAGGCTGACAATCTAAACATCACGGCTGACCCTCCCCGTATTATGTCTCAAAACAACATCCATACATTACATTACAAGGCTGGTTTCACAAAGGTTTGTCAGGTTCGATCAGATTATAGATAGATAGACAGATACCTTACCCCTCAGGGTTACTGACCTTAAGACCTGAAGTTACCACTGTAACAATCAGTGACATCTCCATTAAACAGCAGCTCGGGATGCATGATATCCCTTTAATCCCTAGTAAGTGGTTTCAACTTGCTTCATTTGTTTTCTTATTCCACATCCACTTGCTGCTTCAGTGTATCCTAAAAACGACAGTGTCATGTTTAGGCACTAATAGCTAATGTGTAATTGTGTAAGGACATGGTTTGTGTTGAATCATGCCCCTTTGGAACAGGAACCCCACGTGTTTATAAATTAATTGGAAATGACCGCTCAGTGTCACTTATCCCACGACCTGGCATGTCAGTGTATGAGCCATGCCAGCAGTTTTGACAAACAGCACTAACTGACACTCTGTGGATGAGAACAGGCTGGATTCTGTGTTAGGCCTGCAATCACCACAAACCCTTCTGAAACCTTACTCTGTAACCTGATGCAGCGGTGTCAGCCACTTGCATAGCCTTTGCTGTAGATTTACAGTACAAGCGTGATTTTAGGTGTGAGCTGACATGACTCAGCACCTCTCACTCAACATGTTCAGAGAGATGTTATTTAAGGTAGAAGATAGAAGAACATCACTCAGATCACTCAGTTCAATTCAGTTTTATTCATACAATGCCAAATCACAGTCACCTGAATGTGACTGACCGACTCTGAGCAAGCACTTGGTGAAAGAAACACTCAGTGCATCATGGGAAACCCAGAAGCCAAGACCTATTCCAACGTAACTAAGGGAGGGCTTAGGGTCCCCTAATCCAGCCCTGACTATAATTTACTTGCTGGGAAACATTTATTACCCTTTTGGAAAGATAACATGTCTTTGATTAATACTATGTCACTTCACCTCTCTGTCAAATCCACATGGTAGTTTTGACATTTTATTCACTGGGATACAGAAAGCTTTAATGAAAGATTTGCATTTTAGGAACAAGTCAGAGTTATAGTTGGAGAATTGGAGTGCTCATAAACCTTTAGTTGAATTTGTCTTTCATCCTGTACAATGAATTTTAATGCCATCCCAACAGCCATACTCCCAGGCATGCTAAGCAAGTAACTTCACTTTTCAAAGATACATTAGATTTTAAGACACTGATTTCTTCATTTTACTCAAAAACTTTTTAAGGACCTGCATGAACTCTGCTGCAGTACCTTCATGGTCCATCAAGAGGCTACGGATCACACTTCAGGAATCACTATCACTATCAACTATCATTTCCTCACTTGAGACTCAAACAATTTTAAGAAATCTGCTTACAACAACAATTCAGCACACTGCATTCCCAACATAGTGCATGGGCTTATTTAGAAAAACAAAGCCCAGCAAACGTAAGCTCTGCACCCCCCGCTGAATGCTTGCACTGATGCCAGTAAGCTTTTCCAGGTATAACTGGATTGTTCACTGAAACACTGCGCAGCCTTCACGTATCTGAATCAGACACAGACGCGCATTCTGAGTATTGGAGACGTCTCTTTCAGTACAAAATAACGAGGCTGGTTTGTGACTGTGGTAGCGTTGTAATAATACCAAGAGCAGGAAACCAAATGCCACAACGCACTACAAGCCGCATGTACAGTTTAATGATTCCCTCCACAGTTAGTGGCATGTACAGCAAATGCCTGAAAGGAAGCCAGTCCAGACTGTAGGAGGCCTCTTAGGGAATGAAACCCTGACAGCTCCAAACTGCAGAAACAAACAAAATAAAGTGAAGTGCACGGAGGAGGAAAAAAAAAGTTTCTTCATCAAGAGCTTTACTCTAGAGACACAACCTTCAACAGCAACATTACAATACAACAACTTCTTAACAGTCCCTACTATATAGTCCTAAAGACCAAGAACATACATAAGCACTTCATTTGAGCTTATATTTTATACTTTATGCAACTGACTATTTTATACTCAGTGTAAAACTGTACCACTGCTAATGCTTTTGCACACCTTTTTATAGCACCACAATTTCAAAATTACGTATCGTTCTGGTCTCATGTCACTGTCTTGTTTTCAATTTAAACAATTTGCTATCTGAATGAAAAACAGGTTACCAAAGACAAGCAATTTCAATTTAAACTCCGACCAGTATTGTTAACTAAACCGGATGCTGAAAAATGACTGAAAAAGTAGAGTTCCTCAAGTGGCCATGTAAGGCTGGCAACAAGTGAGAGTTAGTGCCCATATTATATAAGAATGAAAAGATAGTAAAAAATAATAATACCCAATTAGAAGCCAAAATAGCCATAAGTTACAAGGGAAATAAAATTAAAAACAAACTAAACTCAGTGAGCCATAAAAAAAGCACAAATTAATACTTAGGATCAGAAACTTTCATGCAGGACTTTGACTAAACTCGACTAATTTTGTATTTCAGACTCCGCAAACTGCAACAATAACATGTTGGCGCTCATGCAAATGCAGTGTGTGGGAGAATTATAGTGTTTTACTGCATGCTGTAGTTAGGGCTGGCAAATTTTAAAACAAATTGTGGATGGAAGGTGCAATTTAGCTTTAGCTCAGCTCACACCCTGATTGTGTTTTTGAAGTAGACCAAAATGTGTTTTTCTGGAAAACCCGAGAGATTTCTGCACGGCGCACGCTGACGCTGAAGCACGTTTGTTTTGTCGAGGCGTGTGCAAATACGAGATGCTTTTCCCACACGTAACCACACCTTTGTGATTCTCGTGTGACTTGCGACGAGCCTCTCCCCTTTGACATTATGCTCACTATCTCAAATTAGTCACCACATGCAAAAAACCTAAAACATGGCTCATTGCATCAAGCTCCTCCCTCCTGCTGTCTGTGCAGAGGCCACACCTGTAAACTGGAGCAGGTCCTGACAGCTTTCTGGTCCCTGTTCAACTACCCAATATTATCCCTAAAATAACAACAAAGGTGTTACACACACAGACACAGATCAGGGCTCCGTGTTAGTGATGAGGAAAGAGTCACTTTAACATTTTAAAACCTCAACACAAGTTTTCTACACAACAATCAGACTGCAGCTGGATGAAAAATAGACAAAATGGGGCTGAAATTGAAGCTTTGAGGTTCAGTAAATGTACCACTATCACTCTGTTGTGAGCTAAATCAGACACAGACTTGTTATTGTGGCCTTGGAAAATGACTGAGTGGAGATGCCATCTCAGACAGCCGGAACAAAGCAAATTCTTCACCACAGACGAGCAGAAAGAGTCCCGTGGGACTGGAAGTCTGTAAAGTGCAACATGAACAATAAGACCTGACCTTGTAAGGAAACGTCTGAAATGACAATACCCAGATCCTTTACTCATGCATCCTGCTCCCCTGTCGCATAATAAATCCAAAATTCCCTCCTCTTTTTCACAAGGAATAATATATATGGCAGTCAGACATTATGTGAAGTTTACAAGTCTAACTGCTCTCCAGATATTTATTACATAAAAAAAGATAAATTCATGCTGTTAGGTACAGTTAATTTACCTTAAGCTAACGAAAGGTCAAGCAGTCTCATACAGTCCTGCAATACCAGGGTATGATTGGAAATTTACAGGGAGTTGCACTGCATAACAAATTTTAAGTCCGAAAAGAAGGTCTTGGATTTGAATCCACCATCTGACTGGGGCGTTTCTACTTCGCCCATATCAGTATCGATATCCAGCATGATTTTTTTGATGAGTTTTTTAAGTGTTCCTTTAATTCTTGTGAGTAGTGTATGACTGAGGTATAGTAATTTATCATACTTCATGTAAAAAGTGCAAAAGAAGAAGGTGAGTGCGGGTGGTGTTTCCCAGGTCCACCTTCAGCATTTTTATCTTCTTACAGCCTCTGATTGCTCCACAGCAGCTAACCCTCATTCACCTTTCTGCTATCTGATCAAGTCAGAAAGATCTACATTCCTGCTGCCATTTCAGTGCAACATTCTCTATGTTAAGCCCCAGATAACATACATTAAAGGTGGCGCCTGTATCCTCACTTCCAGCTCCATGTTTTTGTACTTGGTGCAGCCCCTCAGTTTAATATCAATTTTTAAAAAAAGCAATTTTAGCTTCTCTCCCCTTCAAGACCAAACTTCTTTTTAATTGGTGGGGCTTCTGATATGACCTTATCAGGCTGAGTCCTGTCTCTGACATGTTACGGAGCCATGAGTACAAAAAATAAATAAATACTAAAAATAAATAAATAAATAATAACTTTGATCCTCACATGCTTTTTGGAGTAGTTTGATCAAATCTGATGTAAATTAATTACATTTTTATTCATACAGAAGTTATCAGAAAGTAGCTCTTTTTATCAGCTCCACTATAAAAAGTAGCTCTAATTGGTAATGATCTTTCGGCATCTTAAATCAGTCACATGGTTATGTTCATGCAGGTCTTAGTCATCCATCTCTCAGGATATTTTAGTTATTCTTCCACTCTAAAGAAAAACTGAGGTTGAAAATGAAATTTTGGTTTCGGAGGCTACATGCAGACACTGAACTCTCCTATGTGAAATTATTATACCATCGCTGAACCCAACTACTTTTTTTTAACCTTGAAAACAGATCACATCATGACAGTCTATACATAAGTCTTTCTTCTTAAAAAATAAAAAATAAAAAGGTTTAAATGCATTCTGAATATTTTCAAATGTCTTTTTCCTAAAGGAAAGGTAGTTTCAGAGGTGGCTGTTTTCAGAGGGTATTAGGAAAAGTGGGCTGTAGGTAGATAATGACCTGCAATGACACGCCCTGTTTATTAGAGCTGGCAAAAATAATGTTTATGAAACTCACACTTACAGTAATGAGCTGATTAAGTAAGTGTGATTTACAGGCCTTTTTTTTTTGAAGCGTAAAGTGAACACATGCACAAGTTTATGTGTTCTTACATATTTCTGCTTGGTCATGAAATGAACACAGCTTGGTATAAACAGTAAAACCTGCTATTTTCCAGACTCAACAATAAACACGTCCATTGAGAACAGACCACAATAAGCAAGTCACGCAGCCTTGTCCTTGTGGAGAGATAAATGGTGAGTGGACCTCCTTGTACGGTAGGATTTGTTCAGGGGTTACGTTATGATATGATACAACACAGAAAGAAATGCAGGCTGCAAAGAGGACACAATGAGAGTTCTGTTTGACACAGAACAAACCCGTCTGTAAGCAGGACTGACAAATGAGTCATCACTTACACCAGATATGAAAAGTAAACCATAAGTCACAACAAGTGGCTTTTAACCAGCACACTGATGTAATTACAGTGATTGTAGCCTGAGTTATTATAGCCTTATTGGTTTTTATTTTCCATTCAGTTTTAATTCTATATTCAGTTAGTTTTGAGAGTGGATTTATTCCAGTGTTGTTTTTATTTGTTTCAGTGCTAATTTTAGTTTTTGAGCCATCTGCCACACTGCAAATGGGAACAGTCAATTTGTTCATCCCACATCGTATTGCAGCTGACGGTTGGTCACGAGAGGACAGTCCCAGGTCCAGTTGCCTAAGAGACCCTTTTATACATTTACCATGCTGGCATATCCCAGTCAACAGCATCCTTGAGTCACTTCTCATTGATAATAAGTAGCTCTGAACAGTT